CGTTACTGTGGATAGCCGTGCACTTAGGGACTGTCTACTCAGGAAACGTGTAGCTGTGAAATATGTAAATATTGTCCGAGCATTATACACGCGTTAGTTAAGCAGGATGAGGGCTTACGGCAAGCTGTCTTCGCCCTTTAATTTCACCAGCGGTGTGAGATAAGGATGCCCCCTGTCACCTTTCCTCTTCAAGTTCGTTATGGGCGAAGTCATGGAGATCGCGTTTACAGGACACAAATCAGGAGGTGTGGATCTGCTCCCAGGAAAACAACTTCTTGGCTTGCAGTATGCTGACAATATTGCCATACTCTGTGACGGCTGCCAGACGTGCCTAGCGGCACTGGACAGATTAGCACTGGCTGTCAGCCGCTTCGGACTTTGCTTTGCACCATCGAAGTGTAAAGCATTCCTCCAAGCTTGGCCTGGACCGCCTCCTTCGCGGACCCCTGGTGGGGATCAGCTGGAAGTCGTTCAAAAATTCAACTACCTGGGAAGTTGTATCAGCGCCTGTGCGATTGAAGATGAGATCACGCACCGTAAAGCAAAAGCTCGAAGTGCTTTTGCTAACCTGCGCCACTTATGACGCCGGAGCGAACCCACTCTCGCCCTAAAGGGTAGAGTGTACAATACTGCAGTTCGTTCGACCCTACTGTGCCGTTGTGAAACCTGCCCCTCAGGTCAACGGACATAAAGAGGCCCGTTATATTCGACCAACGGTGCCTTCGCCATTTAGCTCATATCTGGTGGAAACACCGAGTAAGTAACGAGCATGTTCGACGAATTGTTTACTGCACAGGAAAAATTGAACCGCTCATCATCGTTATTTCACGCACCAGGTTCTGAAGGCTCGACCACGTGTTACACATGCGGCCCACCGGCTCGGGTGCCGTGTGTTTACGCGCCGGCATGTAAATTGAAAAGAGGAGTGGTGGCCAAGCGATGACTTGGTCGAGAGTAATGAAAGCCCTCACTTCGAAGCTGGCCTCGGTTGGAGCGTCTCGGCTCCCTGGTGGGGGTCCGACAAACATTGAACAGGTTTGGCTTCATACAGTTGCTGAGATGGCTAAGCGCCGAACTCAATGACATTATTTCATCCACCCCATTCCTCCTAGCCTCACCTCCAACCACAATCTCACTATTCACCCTTATCTAAGTTTGCGTAGTATTTTTTGTTGCGTAGTAGCCGGCTGGTAGCTTAGCGGAACGATACCGCTCCGTTACCGGTAGCTCAGCTGGCTTGCATTTGGTGCATATATCTCTCCATTTTGCTTCTATGTATTGCGGCACATTAGCTGAGGTGTTTCCCACATATAGCTAACGTGTATACTAAGGGTGATGGATGCTCGGTAGATCGTTATGGATCGCAACAAGGGACACGTGGTTATATTAGGAATCAGACTTTCTTAGACGATATTTGGGATAGTGTATACAGGAATATCCATCACGCTTGGTACGTGATAACGTGAGAGTTAACTGAGGACGGCAAGAGAACTGGTGCGTTGGTACAGTAATCAGTCTATCCCGAGGAGCTGCTCAGTTGGTAGACGCTTCCGCCGTAATACAGGCAGCTTCGGGGAGGTTTTATAAATAAGTGTCGTGTATTTAGTGAGAAGCTTGGACCTGAGCTAACTTGACCGTTTCAACACATCCGGACACCAGCTTTACAGAGCCATTATGGCGTGTTGGTCGAGCGCTATATACCTAGTATGCAGGTGAACAACCAACCATAATTGTGCGGAGGAGCGCCCGGAAAAAAGCTAGGGGAAATTTTATTAAAATCGTGGTTACAACCTAAGGTTCAAAATAGGAAAAAACAAGGAGGAACGAGCTAGGGATGATGTGCTCGCTGCCGATGCGTGCTGCCTCCGGCCTCAAAGACCACAGTGAAACTCCGCGTGCGTATGCGTGACTCAAACAAGCATAAGCATCATGGGAACACGATAACCGTCTATTTTCTAATACAAAGGAAAACTATGATTTTACAGTATACTAGGTTGATTTAGAAAATCAAGCAGCGGAAATCTCCAGGTCAATACACCATTCGTTGTATCTACACAAGACCAGGTACGATCGCCTTAAAGCTGAATTTCTTTTATCATGTAGGGTTGTAGATTCATGTTACACACCACATAAGATGAGGCAGAGGCAATAACGGAAAAGAAGCATAAATATCACTCGGTGCCCATGGGTTGCATTCTAACAGATTTATTTGGCTTTACCTCCACTTCTATTTACTTGACTTCCCCTGTTATTAATGCCATTATTTTATTTTACACGTGTTACTTGCATTGCTATCGGCACGATACTGTTTTACTGTTGTTTGCTGTCTCAGTTGTTATTCTTAGTCGTGTGACTGATACAGCGTGAAATGCTAGTGCGGGCTACGTGAGTGTTGGTTGGTTAACCCGGATCTGCATCGCGTGTATTAGGTTGACTCACCTTGGTTCCAAATCGATCCCACGAACTCTGTACTGTTTCAACAGCGGCACTGAAAATGAAGAGCCGTGAGTATTATTTACGATTACCGCACAAAAGAAAACATGCAAAAAAAGGTTGCACGAATTGGCAGGGGAACTCAGTGGACCTCTGACTTGTGTGTTTCAGAAGTCACACAACAGCTGTGTTTTACCTACTGAATGGAAGGAGGCTGTTGTCTGCCCGATTTTCAAGTGCGATGACCAAGACCAAAGGCTAAGTACAGGCCTGTCAGCTTGACCAGCGTGGTCGTTAAGCTACTTGAATAATTGGTACGAGATACAGTGGAGAACCATTTAAGTAGGTTTAACCTGCTTAGCGTCGAGCAACATGGTTTTCGCAAAGGATTTTCGTGTCAGACGAACTTGCTGGTAGCTCGTGAATGCTGGGCTGAAGCGGTAGACAGTGGACATACGCTGGATGTGGTGTTCATTGACTACGCCAAGGCCTTTGACACTGTCCCCCATTCGCGACTCTCACTGAATTTGAGGTCGTACGGAATATCTGGTCGCGCTCTCCAGTGGGTGTCGGCTTTTCTGGATGGACGGGAACAGTGTATTCGTGTGGGAAGCAGACTTTTGTTTCGACAAGATGTACTTAGCGGCGTTTCGCAAGGCTCTGTCCTAGGTCCGCTGCTGTTCTCAGTCTACGTGAATGACTTACCGGAGGAGCTTGAGGCACAATCACTCTTATTTGCAGATGACCTAAAGCTCTGGAATATTGTTGATATCGCTGGAGGTCCTATGGCGCTTCAACGGGCTCTGGATAGACTCTGGGAATGGTCTGTCTTGTGGTTGCTGCCTATAAACCGGGCAAAGTGTTCAGTGCTGCGTATCGGGGCGTCTGCTTCCTCCACAGGTTATGTGCTCGATGGGAGTGAACTTCCTCACTTGACTCAGCAGGTTGATCTAGGTGTCGTCCACTGTTCCACACTACACTCTGGCGACAACTGGAAGAAGGCGGCTAGTAAAGGGTTCCGGATGTTGTGGTTTATCCGTCGTTCTTTTGGGACAGTAACCGCTAATGTGTTTGGGAAGCTCTTCTCAGCGTTTGTGCGACCTCACCTAGACTATTGCGTCCAGGCCTGTCCACCATGCCTTGTCCGGGACAAAATGGCACTAGAAAGGGTGTTGCATGTCGTTACTAGGTTGGTCAAGGGATTACGAGGGCAAACTTACCCCGAAAGCCTAATTAGCTTGGGAAAGCAGTCAATGCACTATCGAAGGATTAGAGGGGACCTAATCCTAATCTACCGTATTTTGACTAGGAAGGTTGGCCCTGATTTGTCCTGGCTATTTAGTCCTGCTAGATTATCTGGTCTCCGCGGGCACTGTATGAAGCTGGACAAACCGCGGTCCGATCGAATTAGAGCGGAGACACGCTTATCGCGTCGAGTCATCGAGCGCTGGAACCTGCTTCCCGAAAATGTTGTCAAGGAAGCTACGGTTAAGGGGTTTGAGTGTCAAAAAGATGCTCTTGGGTTTCAGGACGAAACTTTCCGTTTTCCTGACTAATGCCCATCTTCACCTTTCGATTCTATTTTCTTTACTTTTCCTCGCCATTGATATTATTCTCTTCTTTTAACTGATTTCCCCTACTCTCTTACCTTCGATTCTTCTTCCAATGTACAATGTTCCAATGTTCCTCTCTTACTTACTTCACGTAACTGACATAGCTGGGACAGCTAATGTAAGGAACGTGGGCATTAAATTGGTGGACAAGGGGTTTTTCGGGTGTTTTCCTTTCAGACCCATCAATAAGTCGGTGCACCCTAGCAACTCCTGGATCGACGACCCGCTCAAGAAGGAACACTTACGGGATTCATCCTATCGTTCCAGTCCCACTTGCACTTGCACTTGAACTTGAAAGAAATGTGGTCTAGGTATTAACGCAATCTTGATGTAATATGCTGCTTTTAACACTCTAATTACTAATTAGATGTCTTTTGGGAAGTTTGATAAAAACATTTTGATGTCTGATTAAAATGCAAACTTCTGGAACAGTACAGTGGAGCGCCAACGTCATTGACGTTATTTTCGGGACCGTCGTATCCGCCATTGGCGCGATTTGGAATGCGGACTGTTGATCTTTGGGACTGCCGGTTTCTGCGTTCTCAAGAAGTAGGGGTTTTATTGGGTAACCTTTCTGCGCAACGTGTTTGTAAAGAGGTCAGTACCGCCAAACATCCAAAAACTTATAAATATTGTTTCCAATGTGGAAAGTTGAATAAAAGTGAAGGTTGAAATATAACTATGTGAATTTTTAAAAAGAAAGGGGAAAAATAGAAACTGGTTTAAGGAAGTCCGCGGTATGTATTTCAACAAGTATTCTACATTAATTATAAACATTACTATTGGTTCAGTAGCCTAAAACTTTTCTCTTACCACCTGCAACCGTGTGTACCGGAATCATACTGCCGAAAGAACATTATTTTCAATTGGCGGATAGGACGCCCTGGTTATTTTCCAAGGTTGCGGGCTGTAGTACGGGTAACGTCACCTGGAGGTTCGTCGGTACCTTGTGTGATGGCTGCTTTTGCTGACGAAGATGGCATTCGACAAACTCTTGAGTTGCTCCACAATTGTCACTCCAGTGATACTGGTGTGCAAAAAGCTGTTCATGAGGTAAATATGTCTCCAACCTAACATCTTGTCAGAAATTTGCCGAGCTTAACAAGTTTCCTGACTTTAATAAGTATCTAGCTTTCATTTTATTTGATGCAGTTAATGAAAGTGAGTGGATTCTATCTTTTATAGCCGTCCTTTAGGTGATTCTACAAGATCCATGAGTGGACTGATTTTAAAGAATAACCTGAAGACACACTTTAAGCTTTGCCCCCCTGAACTAATCACATTCATCAAAGACGGCTGTCTGTCTCATCTAAGTGATCCCTCTCTGATGATGCGATCTACGGTTGGAATATTGATTACGACAATTGTTACGCTTGGGGGACTGGAAACTTGGCCAGAATTGTTGCCTAAATTGATCGATTGTTTGCAGTCGGGTGACATGAATGTTATCGAGGTAATCATGAAACATCTATAGAACGTTTATATCAGGGAGCATTCGGTGCTCTTGCAAAAATATGTGAGGATTCTTCAACACAGCTTGAAGATCGTCGCTTTGGCTGTCCTCTGGCTTCGCTGATACCAAAATTCCTCGAATTCACATCGCACGAGAATCCGAAGTTCAGGTTAGTTTGGTTTTCTACCATAATTAATAATTATTATGAGTCAGTCACTTGCTGCTTATTCTTGACCTTTCAACTGATCGTCCGCTTGCCTTGTTATTGTTTATTGGTTTATCCCGAGACATGGTTCAGTGGGTTGTAGATAAAAGGAAGGAAATCCTTTGAGCTCGTAGCTTCCGATAATATGCAGGCGCATTGCAAGCCGTTGTGAACCTGTTTTACATAAGAGACCACAAAAATCGCAGTTTAGGCAACGGGATCCTTGCTTGCTACTCACATAGGGATCCAGCAATCTTACGAAACATCTGTGCATTAACGACCGGCTCAGGCAGGCTATTCTAGTCATTCGCTTCACGGGTAAACAAGCTGACATCGAAGGGGACAAGGAGGCTCTTTAGTTTAGGCAGTTTCCAGTGGTAACCCTATATACCCCGACCATGCACTTATATGTGATGATCTGCGAATGCGTTTTGGCGGACGCCCACTGCGACGTTGTGACCTCATTGACGCCAGCCAACTGACGAAGCCAGCTGTTCTGAATGCTTATCAAAGTACGCTGTCATGCGAGTTGAGTAAACTCTCACTAGATTCAACTGAAGCTCACTGGTATCACGTCCACCAGACTTCATGTGGTGAGTCTAGTCGCCAACATGGACATTGGATCTCTTCGCAGTCTCTGGGAATTACGTTGTTTGTGCGGAGCACCGTATTGATGTTGTGTTCCTAAACATCCGTCGTTTCGGTGCGAGAACCCTATTCTGTGAGACAACTATCCGTCGCAACGAGACTGGACCTTAACGTGGTGCGACGGTTTGCGTACCTCATTGACCCATTGAGCTATACTGGGTGATGCCTCCGAGCATCTTAAGAGCTACTCCTACCAGGTTGGTCAATGGTGAGAAGTCAGACAAACTCAGTCTCCTGGTCCTCCAGGTTGGGGGTTTGAAATGGGATGGCGTCCATTTCTGTAAAACGAAATCACTGCCACCCCGCTGCCTTGCGAACAGGCTTTTGAGCCAAAGGCTTTGGATGAGGACCCTAATCGTTCTCCTGTCTAGGTCTGGGCGCCCTGGCAGTATCCCAGCCCACATACAACCATGACATTTTCTTCAAACCTAAACTTCATCTTGCATCGGCCGTCGCGCAGATTATCAAGAGTCGCCTTATCTGCTTCATACAGCAGGGCGGATAAGCGAAAACATGCTACTGCTGGCGCCTCCCTTCTTTCTTTTCCACCTTTTTCTCTTACTCCCATCCCGGCCCCGATTACTAACCTTCCTTCTATAATTCCCAGCTTAATTGACAGCAACCGAAGTGCTACTGGAGTAGTACCGTCTGCAGCCACCATCCCACAGCACCTATCGGACGCCTATCGGCAAAAGTCCCTTATAAGACCATGCTGTCCCGTTTCCATGGCGACATTCAACGTCCGCACTCTAAGACAAACAGGTCAGCAGGCTGCACTCGCACGCACCTTGGACACACTGGGTGTTGATGTGTGTTGTGTGTTCGAAACTAGGATTAATGACCCTAACGGGGTTATTGAATTGATTGCACCCGGCTTATCCTCTCGTTATTGGCTGCACGCATCCGGAGACGCCGATGCGGCACTCACTGGTCAAGCTGGTGTAGGTATCATTCTCACCTGCAAGGCTGAGTTATCGTTGGTTGATTGGATTCCGGTGAACAGCCATTTATGTGCAGCCCGTTTGACGACATCAGCTAAGGTGAATTCGCGAAGTAAAACAAAACGCTGTTTGTTTGTGATTTCTGCTTATGCTCCCACCGACTGCAGTTCTAATGCAGTCAAGGACACTTTCTATCACGAACTGAGCACACTGCTACGCAGTGCTACTAGTTCAGATATTATAGTACTTGCAGGAGATATGAACGCACAAGTAGGGCGTCTGAGCTCTTCAGAAGCTCAGCTGGGTGGTAATTATGGACTTAACTCCGAACGGACTGACAACAGCGAGCGTCTGCTGCAACTGTGTGCGGAGCACCAGTTGTTTCTTACTAGCACTGCTTTTAGACACAGTGGGCGCCGAAGTGCTACTTGGCGTCCACCTGTAGCTGGTCAGCGATGGAGCCAAATTGACCACATAGCCATAAGATACAGGTGGCGCGGTTCCATTCTGGATTGCCGCTCGTACTGGAGTACTTGTGTCGACTCTGATCATCATCATCAACAGCAGTACATCAGCCATTTGAACTGATGCTTCGCTGCCATACAACTATGAGGACCTATGAAATAAAGAATAAGAAGAGGGAGAGAATGGGGGACTTACCTGAAAACCTTAATGCCCTTAGCAAACATTCAGGGTCAAGGCGCCTACACCTTGTGTAGACAACATTCCGTCACAAACAGCTGGCTATCGTGCAAAGATAAGGTGGCATCGGCGAGACAGCTTACTTGCGGCTTTCACTGCCACGCGTCATAATCAGCCATTACCCCGCAGATAACTCAGCACCAAACACACTTTAAACAGACAATCCGATTAGGAGACGGCAGCAGACGCGCCACTGGTGTCGGTTGCGAGCCATGTCCTGTAAAGTCTCGAGCCAAGCACAAGGTGAGTCACATGGACTCCAACCCGGAAGGCGAGACGGACCAACGGCACCCAGTTTGGTCGTCAGTGACTTCATTTCCCGCTGCCAAGTCAACTTCTGTCCACCTCGAGCCTTGCGCCACCCTACATCTGGTATACTGAACAAGGCCCTCCTAGGTAAGCGGTGACCAGGCATGCGTAGCACGTGCCCGAGCCAACGCAACTTATTCAGTGCTATCTGTTGTTCTAGGGAGCTAGCATGATTATCACCACCTAGTACTCGCCTATGCACATCATCGTTGCGGACACGCTGGTGCCATCCGACACCAGCAATGCTTCGCAAACAACGATGATCAAAGACTTGAAGGCGCCTCAGATCTTCAGACCGAAGGGGCCAAGTTTCACTACCATAGAGCAGAACGGCCCTCACTGTGGCCTTGTATACACGGCCTTTCAGACGGAGAGAAACTCCCTTCTGTCGCCAAAGATGACGCAGGTTCAAGAAGGCAGCTCTGGCCTTTGCAATGCGTGAGCTCACGTCAGTTTCTATGCGCCCATCATTGCTGATGCAGCTGCCAAGATAAGTGAAATGATCAACCACCTCGAGTTCCTCGTTAGCAAGCGTCAAGGGGTCATCAAGTGGCTGGTGGTCCTGCAGCAACACTTTGCACCTTGAAGGTGCGAAGTGCATACCAAATAATGGGACCACTCTGGATAGGCTATTCAGGGTTGACTCTGCCGCCTCAACATTGTCGAGAAGCAAGAAGATATCGTCCGCATAATCTAGGTCAACTAACCTTTCACCAGGCAGCACTTCAACGCCTACATCATGAGATTCCACAAGGGAACACTCCATGATACAATCCACGACGAAATTGAACAAAAACGGGGAAATCGGACAACCTGACGAACGCCACTTGTAGTCGAAAAGCTATCCGATAGGGCACCATAGACCCTGACGCGGCCTGTAGTGTTCGAGTATAGAGCACGAAGGATGTTCACATATTTCATGGGAACACCTTTTCGCGCAAGTATTTCGAACAGAATCGATCGATCGACTGAATCAAACGCACTCTTGAAATCGAGGAACACAACTATTGTCGGTCTGCGGTATGCGTGGCGCTGCTCTAGCACCTGCCGCCGAGTGAATATATGGTCTATACAGCCACGTCCTGGGCGAAAACCGGCCTGCTCTTCCCTAATCCGAGATTCCCGTTCTGCAGTGAGGTGACGAACGATAATCGAGGCCAGTAATTTTGTCACAACTGGCGTTAGGCTAATACCCCTGTGGTTCGCACAGTCTATGCGACTGCCCTTCTTGTATATTGCCACTATAATCGATTCGCTCCAATTAGCTGGCACACTCTTCGTTCCAGATACGTTCGAATAGGGAGGTCAGTGCTTGGCAGAGGACCTCACCTCCATCCTTAAATAGTGCAGGTGGGAGGGAATCCGGGCCAGCGTCACGAAAACGATTAAGGGCTGTGATCGCGTTTCGGACCTCGGCCTCCGACGGATGCTCTAAACTAACCGTCCATGTCTCGTCTTGCATCACCTGAGTAGGAAGAGGTCCGGGAGCAGGGGGCCAGCTGAACTGATCTTGAAAGTGTTCTGCCCAACGAGCCATACGGCGCTCCTTATTGTGTATCAGCGCACCCGCGCTGTCCCTGATTGTCTCATTGACGCCTGGTTTTCTCGGACCAGTGGTGCGTATTAGCTGGAAGAGTTTGCGGTAATTGCCTACTGCTCCTGCCTCCTCCATTTCTTGAGCCCGACTGGTCCACCAGGCTTCCTTGTCAGCAGGTAGGCTCCGCTTTAGTTCACGCCTAATAGCCCGTCTGGTCACATTGTGTTCAGAACCAGCCGGGAGGTGTCTTCTAGGTTCCAACAGGTTCACGGACCTCTCGGATATCCAGTGACTGGTGCGGTGACGACTGATAGTGCCACAAACAGATGCTCCTGCGTCGTGCATGGCGGTCGAGATCCTATTCCACTGAAGTTCAGTGTCATTAGGACAAGACAGCGAGAGTTCGCTATGCAGTGTTTCTTGATAGGCTTGCCTGACAGAGGGCTGGGACAATTTCTCCGTTGCCAATCGGGGGAGACGCTTTGTGCGCCTTCCGGTAAAGTTCATGGAGAAATGACAGTGCACCAAGGCATGATCAGAGTCGACACAGGTACTCCAGTACGAGCGGCAATCCAGAATGGAACCGCGCCACCTGTAACTTATGGCTATGTGGTCAATTTGGCTCCATCGCTGACCAGCTACAGGTGGACGCCAAGTAGCACTTCGGCGCCCACTGTGTCTAAAAGCAGTGCTAGTAAGAAACAACTGGTGCTCCGCACACAGTTGCAGCAGACGCTCGCTGTTGTCAGTCCGTTCGGAGTTAAGTCCATAATTACCACCCAGCTGAGCTTCTGAAGAGCTCAGACGCCCTACTTGTGCGTTCATAT